GGGCGGCGTGGCTTGGGGAAGGGGGCGCCGGGTCGGGGTCGGCCTCTGGAGGCATGCCCCGGTCGGACTCGGCGGCGGCGGAGGGTCGGTCTCCCGCGAGGGAAGGCGGCGGCTGCTTGGGCCTGGCCTGGCTCGGCTGGGCCTTCGGCCCAGTCGGGCGCGCAGTACTTTTTTTAACAAATTTCGCCGAAATTAAGAAAAATTCTAGAAAATAAATAAAAATCTAAAAATGCCAAAATAAAATTTCACCGCCTAAATAAAATATTTTGAACGAGATGAACATTTTCTTGGCCCTAAAACGCAGTTTTGAAAAAAACATGCATTTTTTCCTAAATTCAAATAAACTAGTCAAAAACTCCAAAATAAAATCTTATTTGATTTTTTATTAAATCCTCAATATTTCTTTATTTTGGGAAAGTCATTTTATTCCCTCTCTCATATTTTTATAATAGAAATAATTGAAGATAAAATAAATAAAATCAAATGATCCTATTTTTAAAATTTGAGAAAACTCAAATATGAAAATAACGAAATCCCCAACTCTCTCTGTGGGTCCTTGAGTTGCGTAGAATTTATGGATCAGAACAAAAGCAAATAAAATATGATATGTAGTGATGATCTAATGTATAACATTCCAAATTGAAAATTTGGGATGTTACAACTCTCAAGGAGAGTCTTTTTGGGGACTTTTTGAGATTTTTCCAACAATGCCCCTCCATGCACCTATTGGCCCGCCACCCCATGGTATTGTTTGGTTGTTATTTTTCTATATACTAGGGATAACATGGTCATTTAATAATCTCTAGGAAGGGACTAGTGACTTTTTAGTCCCTGGAAACAAATAGGGAATGGCTTTTTAGGGACTAGAGTCTTTTTAGTTGGGACTAGAAAAAGTCCTAGTAGGACTTATAAACCAAACAGGGCCTCGGTCGACTAAGGACTTAACGAAGTCTTAGTCGATGCTATATTCGTTAGATCTTACATGGAGATCCGTGTAAAATTTCTTTTTGAGTTTTTCTTTTCCTCTTCTTTATATGTTTCGTTACTTGACTGAGACTTCGTTAAGTCTTAGTCGACTGAAATCTAGCCACACCCTTTTTATTTACCTAAGCACCTGTATAGGCGTTTCGCATGAGGGATGGCCTTAACATAATTTGTTTTCCACAACGAGTTCACTCACAGATTTTTTTGCATGTAACCAACTATGAGTAAGCAAGTATTATTTGTGTTTTGCTCTGACGTTGCCATCAATGTAATTGCACCAAGAGCGAGCAGAAATTTTCTTTTGGTGGGGTAGCACAACCTTTTATTTGGATACATATGATTAATTACTGGAGATAGATACTAATATACACAAATGCTTGTATCCAATATTTGGATTTCCATATCCTCTAAGCCATTACATAAATGTTTGTATCCAACATTTGGATTTCCATATCCTCTAAGGCATTGAATGCATAGCCAAGAGGAGTGCAATAAATAGCACTCGGACCCCGTTCTTCTCCTCACACCATCATTCCAACAACTTATTTTGAGAACTTGGCCATGGCGTTCAGCGGCGCTCAGATTCTCACTGCCTTCACCCTGGGCTTTCTTCTCATGGCCTTCTGTAAGTTTATATAGCAGTTTTTATCACATTGCAATTCCATGCAATTTTAGATCAATCGATGAAACAATTTGTACTATGATTTTCTGGTGCACATATTAATTCTAAGTCACATGCAGGTGCGGAGGCTCGCGTATGCACGGCCCCTAGCAAGTGGGGCCAAAGGAGCATGTGCAAGACCACGGCTTGCATCGGGGCCTGTCAGTACGAGCACTTTAAGGGTGGGTACTGCTCCGATGAGAAATCAATTGTTGGCTACGAGGTCAACGAAGACAACGACGGCAACTACTTTCACATACCTAAGAGAAAGACGTGCATGTGTACATATGAATGCAGGAAAAAACCCACCACCACTGTGAGAACCTACGTGCCTAAGCCACCGGGTGAACCCGAGGTGCCCGATCCTAAGAAGAAGAAGAAGCCGCCGCCATATGAACGTGATGTGCCAGAGCCGCCCTCGGGAGAAAACAAGAAGAAAAGCTTCCGCCAGCTGCCAACCAGTGAGAAAATGGTCTAGTCCGCCCATCCATGGAAAATGATTTCAATAAGAAAGGAATTAATCAATGCTTGACTTGTACATATGCATAATTGATTGCGTGAGAATAATAAAAATCTTGGTAGTACTACTGTTAAAGTGAACCTGTCGCTGTGATGGTTCCACCTTCTTCCACCGCCTCCCCCTTACGATCCCATGTTATGTACTACCCAACACCGATTTGTTTCCTCCTACAACACCATGCATCCAACGAGCCAACACCTCTTTTCCCCCTAAAAAATGCTAGACCTACGAACAGGCTACTAAAGCCTACGAAACCTTCCATCTCTAATTAATCTCTTCCCCCTAAGGCTAGTCATAGTGGGAGTAACTTAGCTAGTAACATAACACATCCCAAGACAAGTTTGCTTATGTGGCACCTAGTTAATGAGGAGAGAGGTGTTTGGAGTAACATATTAGGCTGCTTCCAATGGACTGGTACTTAGATGGGGTGCTAAGCATATTAAATAACTTAGCAACCAAACTCCCCAATGCATAGGTGCTTAGCTTCTTGTAGCTAAGCTCCCTTCATTTAATGATTTGGCTACTAAACTCTCTCATGCATTGGTGAGTTTGCTTCATTTAAATATTTTGCCTAGGTTTGCGCGCTTGACATTGGTTCTTCCTGGGGTCATCAAACCCATCTCTCTCCTCTTAATTGCCTTGCCACATCAGATTTTTCGTCTACATGGCATGCTTAGCACCCGTACAAGGTGGAGCATTGGGTTATCATCACATAGCGCTTCCCAAGAAATGTTGAATCTATAAGCTAATAAATGCAACCACATATGATACTACTTCTATGACACTTAGCACTATGAAGGTAGTAACATAGACTAGTGTTATATGTATGGCACTAGTCTAAGTTACTCCCCACTATGACCAGCCTAAGGGCATGTACAATGGTGCTATCTTACGAGTGCCACGTAGGATAAATAACGAGGTGGAGGAGAGAGAACTCATAAGAGAAGGCTTGTCTTCTCTTATTTAAGATAAGACAAGAGATGATCTCTTAGCCCAATATGTCTCACCACATTCTTAGGAATTGCTAGTTATTGAAGGTAAGGCTAAGAGATGACCCATTGTAAACATTTTTCTTTGTCATCTCTAAATTACATGCAAAACTTAAAATAAGACTATTTTATCAACCATTGTACATGCCCTAAATTTCATTGTGGGCCTGTGCCCTTTTCCTTTCCAATCAAAACCTTCCATGTTAACTCTCACGTAAGGTATGTAAAAGATTTTTGTAGATGTAGCGTTATCCTTTTTCCTTTGTGCGACCCTTCCTTGGTCCCTCCCATCGATGCTCGGAAAAAAGAAAAGGAAAAGAAAAAGTAAAAAAGAGATCCCACGAACCATGAACACATGTTCACATGACCCATCTCCCCAACCTCGTCGCTCACGATCACGAGGCAGAGCAGGGTGTCTTGCAGTGAAGATGTTCCCCACGACCACTCGTTCGCCTCGTGGTTGCCGTGGTTGTGGGAGCGTGTTCGCCGGGATGGGGGATGGGGTGGGAGCGCGGTGCGCGACTGGAGGCAGAGCAGGGTGTCTTGCATTGATGCATCCACCAAGTGTCCTAGGCTGCAACGTCCTTTGACATAGAGGCAAGCGCATGCAGGGAGAGAGCCTGAGCGGGAGGGGTATGGGTATGGAGTCAACGCCCCCGTTAGCATGTTCCCTGCTGCTGCTCGAGGGGATTATGGTGGGGGTCAATTTGAAGCGTGGGGAGAGAGCACTAAGGAAGGTCGTTGCATTGAGGGTTGATTTGGCCCCAATTCGGCTCGCTGGAATACAAGCCATGCCCATGCCACCCCATGGGCGCCCCTGACCGAGGCCGGGGCTTGCCGTGGGTGCATCTGCACCAGTATGTCGGTGTCCTGGATTAGGGGATACTCATGACATCGTCTTTCGACCAGGTGGATCGGGCCGAGGACCCTCATGGCGGTTCACTAATTGGCCACTTCGGGCAGCGGATAACGTATACGAGGAAGATTCCACACGACTGGTGATCAAGAAAAGGACGCCTCTCCACTGAAGTATCTGACTAGGACTCTTGTTATCTTAGGCCTCTGGTACATTATATAAGTCGATACCATGCTAGTCGATAGATCATTATGACATTCATCATCATACCCCTAGGGTTTAGACCACAACATATGATCTCGAGGTAGATCAACTCTGTATATGATACTCCATCAATATAAACAAAAGCAGGACATAGAGTTTTACCTCCATCAAGAGGACCCGAATCAGGGTAAAACATCGTCTCCTTCATTCCTGTTATCATTGATTCGAGAATACACAGCTCAGAACCCCCTACCCGAGGTCTGCTGGTTTTGACACCGATGATGGTGCTTTCATTGAGAGTTCGGTTGTCAGATTAACAAAGGATCAATGGCTCGTCTGTAGATCAACCGCAACGTCGGCATCTTCGTCGCCGGCTCGACTGGTCAACTTGGATCGACCAAGGACCGCGCTCCGCCTCGGATCGTCATGTTCGGACGAAGGCCTTCATCAACATCAACTGTGATCTCTATCAAGAACATGGAGGAATCATCCATGGAGCTCGGAGGCTAAACATCAACATTGCCTTCGGGCGACCGTGGTGTTTTTCTGGATAGCGAAGCTGTATCCGCCGTCACCGCCTTCTCGAGCGTCGCTTTGACGATTGCTTTGGTGGAATTGTGCGGAATTGAGTCTACAACAACTCTGTAAAATTTTGTCGTATTCCGATGAAGGAATCTCCGGCGATCTCCTATATACTGGAACCCTGTCAAATCTGGACGGGAATTTGGACAAGTTTAGGGCGAGGAGTCCATCATCCAGCTCGGACATCTTTTTGAAGATCCAACCGTTCATTGGCTGCGGAATTCCTATGTCTACCACCTCTCAAAATTTCAGCTCGATCTGACCGTTCGAACTCCGGGAAACTTCCAATAAGTGGATCAATTTTTGGATCTGTTTTCTGCACAAATGCGAATCCGAGCCGAGTTCATCTTTCTTCATGAACGGGATATTGGACAACCTTTTTAAGGAACTATGAAATTTAACATTTATGGAAAAAATAACTTCTAAAATACATATTGCAAATCAGGGAGTCCACTATGGTGTGCGACTTTTTCTGAATAAATAATAGAGTCTTTTGTACATCTAATAGTGGTTGTATGGATTATATATATAGGTTCGTACAATAAATAATCGCTCTTTATTTACATAATAAAATTTGCATCTACATACACTACGTATTTGTATGAAGAGGCATCCTCATGAATATACTCTCTCGTTCATAAAAAAGATGGTATTTAGACATCGGCTGTCACCAACATGTATCATTGGCTATATCTTATTTGTCTGTTTTTTGGTCGGATGGTTACGACTTACTTGTGTAAATTAATATTTATGAATTGCAAAATATTTTTAAAACATGGGCAATATTTGAAATCCGGATTTTTTTTCAAAAATTCCGTTCATTTTGGAAAAAGGTGAACGCCATTTGAAATAGGGAGAATTTTTAAAATTCTCAAACATTTATTGAAAACACGAACCTTTGAAAAAGCACTAACTTTTTCTGAATTTGGGAACAATTTTGTAAACAGGAACATGTTTTGAACTTTTATAATAGTTTTTGAAAATGTTTTTATTTTAACCATGATCATTATTTTGAATTTGTGAATATTTCAATAAACAAGAATATTTATAGAATCTGGAACATATTTTAAAATCCCATTTTGTTTTGGAGAACACAAATTTTTAAGAAAAATAGGACATTTTTTAAATGCAATTTTATTTTGAATATCTCGATTTTGTTTTAAAACACAAACATTTATAAAATTGTTTTTCTAATTTTGTTAAAATTTGGAATGAGAACAAAAATTACAAGTTTCGAGCATTTTTTAAAATAGGAACAAAATTTTGGAATTCGGATTTATTTTCTAAAAATTGAAAACACAAATCAAAATTTTTTGCTGGTAAAAAAGAAAAAAGAAATAGAGAAAGGAAACAAATAAAATAGAAATAAAATACATAAGAAAAAGAAAACAGGCTGGCGCAGCCTTGTGCCCTGTGCAATGGTCAGACTATTTGTGGCCTTGTGCGGTAAATAGGGTTTCTGTAGCTGTGTGCGCAGGGAATAAGTGGGCTGGCTTCGACGGGCCACAACATGCACAGCCCATGTACGAAAATTGCTTTTTCTTTTCTAGCAAACGAACGCACAAAAATTTAGTACCACCTTGGATAGGGAAAAAAAACTTTTCGGCGGTGAACGGATTAAAAAATTGGAGAAACGCACCTCACTTTATTAGTAGGTATAGATATAGATATAGATATAGATAGGTTTGTACAATAAATAATTGCTCTTTATTTACATAATAAAATTTACATCTACATACACTACTTATTTGTATGAAGAGGCATCCTCATGAATATACTCTCTCGTTCATAGAAAAGATGGTATTTAGACATCGGCCGTCACCAACATGTATCATTGGCTACATCTTATTTGTTTGTTTTTTGGCCGGATGGTTACGTCTTACTTGTGTATATATTGCTAGAAAAGTATAAACTTTATGCCATATGAACAATATGTTATCCTATGCCGCGAGGTTAAAGAAGTTTTACGGGTGGTGATAATTATTTTTTACTTGTCTTTATTTGCCGAGCACAGAAATCAATTTATTTTTCCTTTAATTTTTTTGTTACTATCGTCATTTATTGAGAAACTTTTCCTTTTTTTCAAAAAATTCCGAACTGTTGTTAGCGATTAGTTTTTCACTTTAACATCGAAGTATACTTTTTTTTGATAATAAGCATTGATGTATATTAATTTGGCAGCTGCTCTATTTTTCTGTAGAGATTTGGGCAACGCAGCCTTTGTCTTGATGTGCTTCATGCGTTGCTTTGGGTCTATGTGTTAGCCTTTTTTTAACGGAACCTTGCTTTTTTTATTGGTATTTTCAGGGAGTCTTCATATTTTTACG